CAGCGCGGCCCGCGGGGGGCCAGGCCGGCCCGGCAGTGCGCCCGCTTCCCCTTTCTCTTCAGATGCCTTTGATCCCCGGGCTCTCCGCCGCACCTCGGCTCGGGAGCCGCCTGGGTCGGCCCGCGGGGATCCTGGAAACGGTCCTCGGTTTATCTCCTTTCATCAAGCGGCCTTGGGCAGCCTTGAAACCGCGAAGCCAGTAATTGCTTTTTTCAGGAGGCCCTGTGCGGACTGGATAACAGCCAATCAGCGCCTTGTTTACACTTGGTGATGGACAGCCCGCTGGCGGAGTGCCAGCCAATCAGGGCGGTCCCGCAGAAGCGAGGGAGGCGGGGCAAGAGGGGCGGCCCCGGAGCTCGGGTTTAACTCCTTGGTGTCCGCGCCGGAAAGAGACGAGAGCAGCCCATAGGAGTCGTTTGGCGTCTACTCAAATACCACCCCCAGCCTCGCCCCGCCCCAACACACACGGAAAAAGAGGGGCAGGAATTATGTATCATCGCCACCAAGACATCACCTCTCCTTCTTGAGAATAAATAACATTTGGGTAGGCAACCAAATTCTAACCGAAATATTTGCTTGCAGAATGTTTTTGGTTTTTTTTTTTTTAAAGCGGTTTGGTTCTGATGCTGATAAAGGGAATTGTTTGGAGGCTGTTTTCCATTGTAGTGAGAATTTTGTGACCGTGCAAGGACAGGCGTTGAGAAATAAATGCTAAGCACGGGTTTCACACCATGACAACCACCCCTAAAATTACCAAGCGAAGGTATTTTTAAAATCTAGGAGCTGATGGGGGAAAAGTAAACCCTTATCTTAGCAACAGAGCCTCGATTTTCATTTCGATTGTTGCTGCGCTGCGGAGTGTGGCTGCGGGAGATAAAATTGAGAGCGCACAGATAGATGGGTGGCTGGGGAAGAAAGGTTCTTCTCCTGCCTCTCGGGCAGAGCAAGGAAGGGCCGGGCGAGCATTCATGGAGTCTGTGCGGCCACGCCTCAGACCCAAGTGCAACCTCCGGCTGGGGTCCGAGTGTGTGGCGGCCTGGGAGTCGGGGTGCAAGACCGGTCTCTGCGCTTTGAAGTCTGGCCTTCGGGGGCCCCAGGTTCCGCCACCTGCCACACAGACCCCAGGGCAGTGGACAGGGCCTCTGGTTTACCGCGTGAGGCTGTTTTCTTTTTATTCCGTGCAAAAGCAAGCAAACGAGCAAAACCCCCAACTTTAGACCTGACAGGTTAAGGAAAAGCAAACACCCATAGCTCCCCCGGACGCGGACCCAAGCTCCCACTCCTTGCCCAGTCGCCAGTGCTCCTCTCCCGCCCTGCGCCACCACATTCCCATTCAGCAGCAAGGATCTGCGCAGAGGAGCTGCGCAGTCGCTCGGCTTGAATTAGGCGCCATCAGGCTTGGTAGTAGCCCTGCTGCTCCCTGATTGGCAGCTCCCTGGCCCGGCGCCAGCCTATTGGGAGGCCTGTTTACGCCGAATGAGTGGCACGAGCTCGGGGCCGTGGAGGGCCGCGCGGCCAATCAGCGCGCGGGCTGCTCCGGGTTGAGTGGCACGAGCTTATTAGTATGCAGGGCCCGTGGCTCGCCGCGCCGGGCTGCAGGTTTGAGAGCCGCTCTGGATGGGCTCGCTAGAGTCGTTGTTGTGGAAGCCGTGCATTCACAGTGCAACAGTCAGCACATTGAAAATACCAATAGGAATACAAACCAAAGTCACATTTACTGATTTAATTGTATTGCATTCAATTGTATCCAGGAAACAGCCTCCAGTAAGTAACTGAAATTGCTTTCATTTTTAAAATTTTTTTGTATTTTTATTATTTTATTTTATTTTGGCTTTTGGGGATTTACATTTTTTTTAAGCAGAAGAAATTCAGGATTGTGGTGTTAAGGAATAATAGATCTTCCCTTTTAAAATCCGTTATGATGTTGAAAGGCTTTTTTTAAAATGGACTATATATATATGTATATATGAGTACGATATTTTTTTTCCTTTGAAAAATTTTATCGATCGGTTTAAAATTCCCCCCGTAATGCGTCCTTGCTTTGCTCTGAGCGCTTCTTGTCTCGATCGACACCCTGCATTAAAAATAAATTATCCAGACAGGACAGAGACCGCCACGTTTCCTTCAGCAAGAGCCCCGCGGGTAGCCCCGAGTGGGCAGGGAGTGAGATCCCAGCTCCGGAGGAACCACGAGCGAACCCCAATTATTTGCTCCCCCATCCCGCTCCCCTCCCCCAGCAATCTTGAATGGGCCCCGCCCGGGCGCTCCCCAGCGCAGGGAACGGTCGGCTCTCGGTGGCCACGGCTGCTGCTTTCCGGGCCTCAGTGAGGGGGACAGGGGATTGGAGGGGGACTGGCAGGCTTTCAGGCTTCTCTCCCCACAGACGTAATTCTTTTCGGAACATTTCTTTTTCCTTCTGGAGGAGTGGGGGGTGGAGGGGGTCGCCCAACAGTGGGGCGTTTTCATGCGGTGCGTTCCGGGCAGCACGCGGGATCGGGGCCACGACCCTCGCGAGTGGCGTGGTCGGGGGACGGGTCCACTCCCAGAGCCGGGGTCTCTTGTTCCTCGCCGGCATGGGGTGGGGTGGGGACGGCGGGTTTCGCAGGGAGCGGGTTGTGCAGCGACGCTGGAGCCACTCGCGTCCGGTGCGCTTCTGGCTGCGGCCTGGCCTTGCAGGCCCCGCTGAGCCCACCCGCGCGGGGAACGCGGCCCGAGCGAGCCCACGGACCCCAGAGCTTGGCTTGCACGGGAGGACAAAGGCGGCTAAGACCCGGCTTTTAGATGCAAAAATCTGAAAACAAAGCAATCCTCGAGGACGCCCGGGGGTACCAGTGCTGGCCGGGCGTCTGGAGGAACCGCGGCTCTGGGGGTCACGCCCAGCCACCCGGGGCAGGTTTTCTGGGGTTCCGGTCCTTAGACGCTTTCTTATCGGCGGTTCTTATCGGCGGCCGCGAGGGGCTCTCGGCCACTTTGTTTCCTCTGGTCCGACACTGCCCGGGGTCCACTGCGGCGTCCAGTCCTGAGATGGGGCGCGAGGAGGAGGCCTCGGAGCCTGGGGACTCGCGGACGGCTGCATCGCAGCCCCGGGGATCGGCTCTCGCATCGCCGCTCCTCGTTCCGTGCCGAGCCGGCTCTCCCAGGCCCAGGGCGCGAGCATCGCAGGGCGCGCCGGCAGCGCTCCGGCAGGACGGGACACAAAGGAAGGTCCCCTTCAGTCCGGCCAGAAGCGCAGCGGCGGGCACTGGCGACACAATCCAGCCCTTGTTTGCGTAGGAAATCCTGCGGGCCGGGCGGAGAGGCACAAACGAGCCAGCGATCGGCCCGCAGGGGGTGGGGAGCCAAGCCGCGGCGAGAGCGCAAAGCCCGCGTCCCGAGAATCGCTCGCAGACCCCACTTTTCGCTCACACTTTGAGACGTCTTACTGGGGTGGGGGCCCAGAACAAAAGCCCGGCGCACACGACTCCCCGGAGGCCGTCGCGGAGCCTTGTACCGCGCGCAGCCTCCGACCCCACTCCGGCCCTCGGCGCCTTTGAAGCGGCAGGTTCCTGACCTCCCTCCCCTTCCTTCTTTCCCTTTGTCCTCCTCGGCGCCCTCCGGGGTTCGAGAGGCGCCGGCCTGGGTAGGGGCGCGCGAGTCCCTCACCGGCCCTGGGCAGCCCCTCCCCTGACCCCGGCGCCGGCAGCGCCTCGGCCTTGCCTGCGCCTTCCTCGCCCTGGCGATAGCTGAGCAGGCCTGCGCCGCGTAGAGGCGAGCTGTTTGTTGGACCCGGGGAGAGTGAAACTCCCCAGAGGGAAGAGAGCCCCAAACCCCTTTGTATGCGGTTTGAACACAAAGAGAAGTCTTTGTGTAGTCCCGTTTATTTACAATGCAAAATTCTCCGAATAAATATTAAAAAAAAGCTTATCACATGAGCAAATATGTATTCACTTAATACATTATGTTTTCGGTTATAGATTAAATCAGACACAAAATAGTGTGCAAATAAGACAGTGTAGAACCCAGAGCATAAAATATAGCAATTTAAATGGTATTTACGAAATAGAAAACATCTTAATCGCTTTGTTGTCACGGTGGGACGGCTTTTTTTAAAAAAAAAAATCAGATTTTCTGTAAAGTTCACAATTAAGAATACCTCCTTTCTGTGGGAGCTGAGACCAAGCATTAAGACAATGTGTATTTCGGAAATAAAAGAAGTATCCGAAATGGAGGATGGCCGAGAGACTTTGGTCGCACGTGCATGGCGGTGTACACTTTACATCGCTTGCTCGGTCGCTGCTCTCAGAGTTTGAAATTGTCTGCGATTTCGCCCGGGAGTACACATTTCACGATGGGAGGGGGTGGCAGGAAAGGGAGAAGGAGGGTCGTTTCAAGTTGGCCTTGCCAGAGGTGGGGATGGAAGACCGAGAGCCCGGGTCTGCTGGGCCCCAGACCCAGGAGACGGCTGCGCTGTGCTAGTCTCGGTTCTTCCCCGCAGGGTCGGTCAGGGTGCCACGCGGAGACCTGCCTCGGTTAGGTGATCGGGCAGGCGCTGAATGGAGAAACGTCGTGGCCGATTTGGGAGGCCGAGAGAAAACAGTTTCTGACTCTCTGAGCCCCCTCCCCCAAAGCCCCCAATCCGCAGAGGAAGATCCTGGGCGAATTTGATTGGGGGGCGGGGTGATTGTTCCAGCCTCACCAGGAACCTCCGGGCTCGGGCTCGGGGACAGCAGGCCAGGCACTGCGGCGTAGCGGCCCAGGTGATGCCGGTGGCGGTCGAGGGGCGCCCGGGGCTCCGGGACGCCAGTCTGGGGTTGTGGCACAATGCTGGAGGGTGGGGGCCGGTCCCACTGGGGCCGAGTGGGGGGACGACATTCAAAAGAATGGACTGAAAGACGCATGGGGGGATGGGAGAGAGGAGAAAAGAAAGGTTATTTAAAAAAAAAAAAAACTCTTGAGTTACAATCAATAAAATTACTCGCTTAATTAGCATGGTTATTCGGTTAAGCGGAATGCAGTAAAAGCTGGACCTCAGAAAGCCCGGGGTTGGGGGAGCGTGGACCCCGGGCTTTTTCCTCCGAGACACCTTTGGGCAGCGGGGGAGGGGAGAGGGTGTGTGTGAGTGTGTGTGTGTGTGTGTGTGCGCGCGCGTGCGAGTGTGCGTGATGGCTTCGCAGATTTGGGTTTTTATCACCCAGCCAAACCAGCAGCCTCTTCGCTGCGGCGCCTTCGCCGCAGGGACTCTCAGGGACCAGAAAGGGGAGCTGCGCGCGGCGCGGTTGGGTTGCCTCTGGCTCCCGCAGGCCAAGCGTGGCTCGGACGGTGCGTGTGCGCTCGCGGACTCGCGTGCAGGGCGGCTCCAGTGACCCGGCGCGTAAGCGTGTGCAGCAGGGAGTCCTCCGAGCGCTCCCGGCCCCGCTGTCCTGTCTGGATGCCTCTCCGGTTGGCGCGCGAGGAGGGGGCTGGTAGCGGGAGAGGCGGGGACCCCGGAACGAGAGGAGCCCACGAGTCACCGAATCTCTTCTGCTTGCCTCCGTAGACCATGGATCTGCACG